GCTTTCTTACATCCGAAATAAATATTGTCATGGATCATCCAACATGTTGAGCTTGCCTTTCCCCCTCATGCTAGCCAAATTCCTTGCACCAAGTAGAGATACTACTTGTGCTTCCAAATATCCTTGAAACTAGTTTTGCCATGAGAGTCCACCATATCTACCTATGGATTGAGTAAGATCCTTCAAGTAAGTTGTCATTGTTGCAAGCAATAAAAATTGCTCTCTAAATATGTGTGATTTATTAGTGTGGAGAAAATAAGCTTTATACGATCTTGTGATGTGGAAGAAATAAAAGCGACGGACTGCATAATAAAGGTCCATATCACAAGTGACAATATAAAGTAATGTTCTTTTGCATTAAGATTTCGTGCATCCAACCATGAAAACACATGACAACCTCTGCCTCCCTCTGTGAAGGGCCTATCTTTTATTCTTGTCTTATACTTCATACAAGAGTCATGGTGATCTTCACCTTTTCTTCTTACATTTTATCCTTCAGCAAGAACTGTGTGTTGGAAAGATCCTGATATATATAGCTAATTAGATGTGAGCTTTCATGAACTATTATTGTTGACATTACCCTTGAGGTAAAAGGTTGGGAGGCAAAACTATAAGCCCCTATCTTTCTCTGTGTCCGATTAAAACTTCATACCCATAAATATAGCGTGAGTGTTAGCAATTGTGAAAGACTAAATGATAGTTGAGTATGCGGACTTGCTGAAAAGCTCTTATATTGAATCTTTATGATGTTATGATAAATTGCAATTGCTTTCATGACTGAGATTATAGTTTGTTAGTTTTCAATGAAGTTTCTGTTTCATACTTGAAATTGTGAATGAATTGTTACTTTAGCATAAGAAATCATATGACAATATATATATATATATATATATATATATTGTTGTTGTTGTTCTAACAATGATCATGATGCCCTCATGTCTGTATTTTATTTTATCGACACCTTGATCTCTAAACACGTGGACATATTTTTCGATATCGGCTTCTGCTTGAGGACAAGCGAGGTCTAAGCTTGGGGGAGTTGATACGTCCATTTTGCATCATGCTTTTATATCAATATTTATTGCATTATAGGCTGTTATTACACATTATGTCACAATACTTATGCCTATTCTCTCTTATTTTACAAGGTGTACCCGAAGAGGGAGAATGCCGACAGCTGGGATTCTGGGCTGGAAAGGGAGCAAATAATAGAGACCTATTCTGCACAACTCCAAAGTCTTGAAACTCCACGGGAGTCAAATTTTAGAATATTTAAAAAATATTGGGCGAAGGAAGCACCAGAGGGGGGCCACCCACCATCCACGAGGGTGGGGGCGTGCCCCCTGTCTCGTGGCCCCCCTAGCAGGCCTTCGGTGCCCATCTTTGGCTATATGAAGTCTTTTGCCCTGGAAAAATCATAAGCAAGCTCTCGGGACAAAAATCCGCCGCCACGAGACGAAACCTTGGCGGAACCAATCTAGGGCTGTTCTGCCGAGGAAACATCCCTCCAGGAGGGGGAAATCGTCACCATCGTCATCACCATCATTCCTCTCATCGGGAGTGGGTCAATCTCCATCAATAACTTCATTAGCACCATCTCATCTCAAACCCTAGTTCATCTCTTGTATCCAATCTTTGTCCCAAAACCTCAGATTGGTACCTGTGGGTTGCCAGTAGTGTTGATTACTCCTTGTAGTTGATGCTAGTTGGTTTATTCGGTGGAAGATCATATGTTCAGATCCTTTATGCATATTAATACCCCTATGATTATGAACATGAATATGATTTGTGAGTAGTTATGTTTGTTCCTGAGGACATGGGAGAATTCTTGCTATAAGTAGTCATGTGAATTTGGTATTCGTTCGATATTTTGATGAGATGTATATTGTCTCTCCTCTAGTGGTGTCATGTGAACGTCGACTACATGACACTTCACCATTGTTGGGGCCTAGGGGAAGGCATTGGGGAGTAATAAGTAGATGATGGGTTGCTAGAGTGACAGAAGCTTAAACCCTAGTTTATGCGTTGCTTCGTAAGGGGCTGATTTGGATCCATATGCTTCATGCTATGGTTAGATTTACCTTAATACTTTTTTGTAGTTGTGGATGCTTGCAAGAGGGTAATCATAAGTGGGATGCTTGTCCAAGTAAGAGCAGTACCCAAGCACCGGTCCACCCACATATCAAATTATCAAAGTAACGAACGCGAATCATATGAGTGTGATGAAAACTAGCTTGACGATAATTCCCATGTGTCCTCGGGAGCGCTTTCCTTTATATAAGAGTTTGTCCAGGCTTATCTTTTGCTACAAAAAGGATTGGGCCATCTTGCTGCACCTTATTTACCTTTCTTACTTACCCGTTACAAATTACCTTATCACAAAACTATCTGTTACTGATAATTTTAGTGCTTGCAGAGAATACCTTACTAAAACTACTTATCATTTCCTTCTGCTCCTCGTTGGGTTCGACACTCTTACTTATCGAAAGGACTATGATAGATCCCCTATACTTGTGGGTCATAAAGTACTGATATGGGTCCACAGGATGGACCGGCGTGCCCTAGGGGGCGCCCCGGGCTTGTGGGCCCTGGGTGGCTCACCTCTGGTATTTCTTGACATTGATATTTATTTATATATTCCACAAAAATTCTATGTAAAGTTTTGTCCAATTCCGATAACCTTTTATTTCTACACAAAAACAACACCATGGTAGTTGTGTCGAAAACTACGTCAGAACAGATTAGTTTCATTCAAATCATGTAAATTAGAGATCAAAACAAGAGAAAAAGTGTTTGAAAAAGTAGATATGATGGAGACGTATCAACCCCCCAAGCTTAACTCATTGCTTGTCCTCAAACAATTCAATTAACAAACTGAAAGTGATAAATAATTTTTTTACAAACTCATTTGATTTTGTTGATGTATATAAGCTTAACTAGTAATCAAGTTTTCAGGAAAGATAATGAAGTAAACAAATATATGATAACACTAGAACCCATATTTACTCATATCAATAAACAATTGACTAGCGAGCAATAATACTATATCTCAAGTATCAACACTTTGTCAAAGTAATCATGATACAATATGATAGGGTGGTATCTCACTAGCATTTTCGGAGACCGTAAAACATAAATGTAAAACACCTCTGAAGCTCAAGCAGCGATTAAACATTATAATTTAGGGTAGAAGACATCCAATCATGTTCACACCCAACATTAATTATACCAAATTCATGCCAAAATAAGAATGACAACAACGCTCTCAAAGTTGCTGCTTGAATGAGAAGGTAATGAATCATTAATAAATTAAAAGATAGGCCCTTCGTAGAGGGGTGTAGGGATTTGCTTATGGTGATGTACTTGCTGAGTCCAAAAGACTTACCCGTGCCACAATAACCCTAGGTGCAAGTACATGTTCAGGTAAAGCTTTGCTCTAAGTCGAGAGCACGAAACGTTTTACATGGATTTCTTCTTCGATGAAGACTAGTAGAGATGAGGATCCTGACCGATAGCCTGGAACCCGTTAGTTATGTGACGTTTGCTTATGTTCTAGCCTCGTTAAGCAACATTGACTCTTATTCGTATTCGAACCCGTGTTCTTATTCTTCCGCTGCATGTTGTAATGTTGGGTCATGTAACCTCTGTTTGGTGTACAACTATGTTATCATATTGACAAATATTTTCCCTATTGTTCATTCATATTCAATCTATCTTGTTTAGTTGTACTTGTTGTGATGTTCTATCATTGTTCACCGGCATATGATAGTGCGTGTATGTTATGAAGCCACATGCCGAGGCGACCAATATGCACTTCTAGCCTTATTAGTGAGGATTGCAAACTCTTCATTGAGACTAGGATCACAGGTTGGGGGTTACATAAAGATTGTCCGAGATATATCTATCTGGTCTTCAAGAGGGACCAAACTCTAGTATTTGTGGTTGTCTTGAGGAATGAGTAGGCAATCTGACCTACACAGATCGAGGGTGTCGGGCTCGCAGCCTAGGGAGGACATTGTGCAGCGTCTGTTGAGGTCAAGGGCATGCGACCTCGGGTGTCGCAGCCCGAGGAAGGCGGTTCGACAGACCCTAGGAGGGTTCTCAAACCGCTGCCATCGATGGTGTCTTGTGGCAAACCCTGGGAAGGCCAGGGACAACGCCGCTGCGCACGGAGATCCAGCGGCCACACCTTCACCCGGGGAGCG